AACAGAAACACTCAACGTGCATAAATGGAAGATGGGATCCTGAACTAACCTGCACAGGTAAGCTCTTGTTTATAGTACTTTCAAAATCTTACTCTATTTCTCCGAACTTGCCAAAGCAGTATTTGGGCATCTTTTAAACATGTTTAGCTATTTATTATTACAAATAACTTTGAAGCCGGAAGGGAATTTAGAAACTAACCAAAACATCATTTCTAGATATTAAGTGCATCAGTGCTTCAGTCAGCTATAAAACAACCCACCCAGAAACTTGATGGCCTCAAATTAACGCCCGGTCGGGTATCTTTAAGAAATAGTGATTTGGTTTTCTTTGAGGCTGAGGAGAGCACAACGATGGCATCCCCTGGTCCACGTTCCCTGAGAGCACTCGGTGGCCTCCAGATGTGTGGCAAATCTCAAGTACACCCTTCAGGCTACTGGTCTAAGACAGATAATTAGGCTTTTTCCCCAGAAAGTCTGGGCTGTGTTTCAGGCTGCTTTGTGGTGCCCTGGAGGTAGTGGCCCACCAAGAGTTATCTCTCGGATTGTTGTAGTGTGTTGCAGGCCCCAGAAATGCAAGCCCCTCTGGCCACTAGAGCCTGGGGATCAAGGAGTGTGCCCTCTGTGGGCTGAGCATGCTGGCCAGCTTTAGCGAGGCAGCAGAATGCAGGGCTGGGGCCCGCTCGCCGGCTTTGATGAAGCCACAGGAGAGCCCTGGGCTGGAGTGCACCCACTGGTGCCATCAAGGTAGAGGGAAAGTGTAGACATGGCACCTGCCTGCACCTCCATCCCGGAAAGAGTCCCAACAGATGCCCCCTCTCGAGCAGATGCTTTAAGGCGAGCAAATGAATCTGCTTCTCAGATGTCTAGGTATTTCTCAAACTGTTCTTTCACATTGGTCGCCTGGGGTAGTGAGTCTGGGTGCGAGCTCTTTAAGAAAAGGGTCTCAGTTCTCGATAGCCCTTCAGATATCCGGGATATGAGCTCTGTTGGTTTTCAAACCCAGACATTTTGGGGTCTCATCTTCCTGCTGCAGATTCCAGGGTTTGGGTTGTTAATGTGGGAAACAAACCCCTTACTCCTCAGGGAGAGGCTCTGGGTCAGTGAGATCCCTCCTGAATGTGTGTAGCCCTGCCAGGGGTGGGGTTTGTTCCATATACTGTCTTCCTGACTCTCCTACCCACCTGAATGTGGCCCTTTTACTGTTTGTTGTGAAGGGGCCGTTCAGCTGGTTTTCAGGTCTTTTTCAGAGGCGATTGCTCCATATGTACCGTGCATTCAGTGTGTGTGGGAGAGGAGTTTGGGATCTTTTTATGTGTTTGCCCTCATGCTTGGTTTCTGCATGTTAATTGGATCGTCTGAAACTATACTAAGCTGCATTTTTCATTTTAGGTGTTGCTTTGTAGATTTGTGGCAATTTTCTGTAAGCAGTTATATCAGTGCTACCACAAGATTTTATTTTTGCCAGTCTATTTTGATTTTGTTTTTTTTTATCTTATCATACTGGCTAAGACGTCCAGTAAACTGTTGAAAGGAAGTGATGAGAATGCACATCTTTGTCATATTCCTGACCACAGAGAGAGGGTATTCAACATTTTACCACAATCATAATGTCACTTTAGGATTTTTGTAGACGCCCTTTAACAGTTTAAGGAAACTACTCCTTCTCGTCTTATTTAGCTGAGTGAGAAATTTTATGATCAACCAATGTTGGGTATTTTTAAATGCTTTTTACGTATCTCTTGATAGGATAATATGGCATTCTTATCTCTGTTAATGTAGTGAATTATATATGTAACTTCTTGAATATTGACCAAATCTCTCATGCCTAGAGTTAACTCTCTTATATTTTCATATACTTGATTTGCTGACATAGTTTTAAGAAGTTTTGAATCTGTGATCATGGGAGATATTAATCTATAGATGCTTTTTCTTTTAATGCCTCTCCCAAGTTTTGTTATCAGTATTAGTGTGGCCTCATAAAACAAATTGCAAATATATGTATAAATACATATATATATAGGTAATTACACTTATTATTTCATTATTTTTACCTTAAATGATTGATAGAATTTACGTGCAAAGTCGTGTGACATATAATTTGCTTTTTTGGAAGTTTTCTTGATGAAGAATTCAATTTCTTTAATAAGTAATGAAATATTCCGATTTTCTTACTGTCTTTCATCAATGAAAGGAAGTTGTATTTTTCAAGAAATCTCTCGTTTGTCAAAATGATTGGTGTGCAGTTGTTTCTAGTATTCCCTTCATGTACTGTTTTCCTTTTAACTGTATAGTTTCTTGGCAGATATCTCTTCTCTCTTTCTTAACATTGATACTTATTACTTGTATCTTGATTTTTCTTCCTGGATTTTTTTTTCTTGAATTTATTAACATTTCCACAAAACCAGTTTTAACACTCGATTTTCTCCATTTACTCTCTCTTCTATTTTTTAGCCTTATTAACATTCACTATTTTTTCTGTTTTCTCTTTTCTATTTGTCTTTCTCAATTTTCTCTCTTCTGTGGGCTTAAGTTGTTTTTTCTAATTACTTTGATTTTAATTTTACTTTTCTATTTCTTAAGGTAGAAAACTAAAACTTGGATTTAAACCATCCTACTTTTAAGGATTAATTTCATTTTCCCTTCTAAAACTGTTGTAGAAGTCTCAAAATTTTTATATACATTTCATTTTCATTGAATTCTATGTGAAATGTTTCCTAGTATTCCTTGTGGTTTCTTCTTTGACTTATCAGTTATTGAGAATTTTGTTGCTTAATTTACAAATATTCAGTTTTTTCTTAGATAAATGTATCCTCTTGTAACAACATTTTTGTGGTATATTTGTTTTTCAAAGGACTACAAAATAATACAGAAAAAATTTTAAAATGTAAAAATAAAGTAAAATGCAAAAAATACAAAGAAGCTTTAAAAAAAAAAAAAGCATAAACAGAGGATTTGCAGAGTAATGATTCTGCCTTTAGGGAAATTTAGTTGCCAGACCAACCTCTGGCAAAATGTATCAAGAGGAAGTAGAAATTAAGATTATTAGGACAAAAATGGTTAAACAGCATATATAGAAGAAAATAAATCCTTGAGAATACATTGAAAAAAATATGCCAAAATAATGAAAACAGAAATAAGAAAAAAACTTTTGATTAAATATAAAATACTCCTGCATCTGTCTAAAGATAGAAATAGAAAATATGACCATATTAGTCAGCATGAATGAATTATATTCCGTCAACAATTTCTCTGAATTGAATACAAAGTGTCAGATAATTGGAAGGACTCAGGAGACTTCCCAATGTACAGTCACATAAGGTCTTTAATGAAATAAACGCATGGCAGGAGAAAGCAAAACGTAGGTATCACAGAGAGGTCCAAAAGCCTCCAGGGTTAGTCGCCCAGAGTCTTCCCTCAGTGGAACAGGACATCTTTGTCTCCAGGTTATGAACTGCCACGATACATGTGAGGTATCTCTGCTTTATGGGAGCTCAAACGCAAGTTTGCAAAGGAATCTTGTATACCTTGCTGGTCATAGAACTAAAGTCAGGCTGTCTAATCCGTTAAACAGGGTGCATTTCATCATCTGTGTATCTCTAAACAGTGTCGGCAACCTAGTCAACAGTATCTCCAGAGAGTTTTGAACTTTAAACAACACACTGTTAATCACTAATGACCATATCTAATTAATGTCTTGGCCAGGACCTGTATCAAATAATTGATCTTTAACTACATGTAATTCTTCCTTTGGCTAATTATTTTCCATTCCACATCTTATAAGGGTTTTAATGCAATCACAATACATGTGATTATAGATAGCTGTAAAAAGATCCTAATATCAGTATTTATTTAGTGCCTGTTACTGAGTGGATGATTCAGTTAGTACATCGTAATGGTTAGAAATAATTAAAAGAAGTTTTACATAGATTATGCACGATTTCTCACAGAAGGAATAAAAGGAAGATACTACCATTAAAACCACGTGTGATGTATTAAAGCGCTCTACAAGCTGAAGAGTATCACATGTTTAAGCATAACCTTATTGTTTATCGTTTATGATACATCATTATTGGGCTTTCTCTTTAGTATTTTTAACTTCTGATTTTCATCACGAAATCTAATTTTCATATTTGTAGAAGTACAAATGCAGTCATGCCCACCTCCACCTCAGATTCCCAATGCTCACAATATGGCAACGACGGTAAATTATCAGGATGGAGAAAAAGTATCTGTTGTCTGTCAAGACAATTATATAATTCAGGATGCAGAGGAAATCGTGTGCAAGGATGGAAGATGGCAGTCAATACCACACTGCGTTGGTCAGTAATGCATAACTTGCTTTGTAACATTCTTTCAAATGAGGTTAATACTCCCCTGTGCTTTGTGTAAATGAACAAGATAAGGACCTTTCTGTCTATGTATTTCACTTTATCTTGAAACAGTAAATTGCAATCTAAGTATACAAATCAATCGGCATTCTTTCACTTCTACTATGAAAGAAACAGACCAAAACTTTGGGTTACTGTGTAAATACCATAGAAAATTTGTTTGTAAATACCATAGAAAATTTCACTCGTGATGAACAGGACAAGAATGTGGGGGCAGAGTGAACAAGCAGATACTACTGTAGATTTGATGGAGACATGAGCTTGCAAATTCCAGATGTTTTTTAGTTTTTCAGTAATTTAATTTTTCAGATTATCCTTATTTTAAAACCTCAACTACTATTTGATTACATTTTTCAATTTAAACATTGATCTCTGTTCTTTATACAGAAAAAAGCCCATGTCCTCAACCACCTCAGATAGAACATGGAACCATTAAATCATCTCAATTTTCAGAAGAGATGGACGAAACATTGAAACCTGAGGTTTATGTACATGGCACCAAATTAAATTACACTTGCGAGGATGGTTTCAGGATATCTGGAAAAGATGAGATAACGTGCCACATGGGAAAATGGAGTTCTCCACCTCGGTGTGTAGGTGAGGACAGTATGCAAACCACAATTCTATTTTCGA